GGAGGGCCCGGAAAACCCAGCCTGGAAGGTGGGAGCAGAGAGTCAATGCCACCCACTGCTGGTGGGTGCCCGCTGGAGGGTCAGGATGGGACCCCCAGCCCCTTCCCCTGCGCAGCTCCCGGCTGCCCGAGCCCCAGCAGGTCCCGAGGTTTTCCTCGGGAGGAGTTTTCCTGGTTCCTCGGGAGGAGTTTTCCTGGTTCCTCAGGAGTTTTCCTGGTTCCTCAGGAGTTTTCCTGAAGATGGTGCCATCCATGGAGCAGCAGCAGGAGCGGGAGCCTCCTGCCACCCTGCGGCGGGGCCGGGGGTGTCCGGGAGGAGCTGGGAAGCAGGGAAGCAAAACGTGGAGCAAGAGAGGGTGGGCAGAGCAGCACCTGCACCTGCAGCGCTGCTCCCAGCTCTGCTTTTGGGAGCCATCCTACAAACGTGGCAGCCTGAAATCCCGGCGTGCTCCCTGAATCCCAATCCCTTCCCTTCTGGATGGGCCCGGTGCCGTGGGCTGCATCTCCTCACTTCCCAGCAGCTGGGAGGGGATTCCTGAGCACAGCTTTGCCCCAAAGCTCCCTGGATTTGTGCTCTTGGATTTCCTGGGATTGGCTACAGGCAAATTTCCAGAGCTGCTACTGGCAGAGGGGGGGGGGGTTAAAATCCATAACCTTCCTGGGGCATCCCAGTGAGGCAGGGAGGTGGGGACAGTGTATGGAAAAACCCCAAGGTTTGCTCCTGCCACTAAGGGGTGTGTTTGGGCAGGTGGAGGAGGAGCTGCAGGAGCAGGAGTTCCTGGATCGCTGCTTCCAGGAGATGCTGGAGGAGGAGGACCAGGACTGGTTCATCCCATCGAGGGACCTGCCCCAGGGCATGGGGCAGCTGCAGCAGCAGCTCAACGGGCTCTCCGTGGGGGACAGCCACAATTCCGAGGACATTCTGGTGAGGACCTCAGAGAATGTGCTGTGAGGTCTGCTCAGGAGCAAGGGACCCCCCTGGTGGGTGGGGGCACGTTTCCTTGGGGGGGTTCCCAGCTGGCAGGGGGTGTTTTTGCAAGGATGTTCTAGCCATGGATCCTAAAGGCAAAAAGACCCAGCTTTGCAGAACTTGCTCTCCAGAATTTGTGGGATGGGGTTGCCACTTGCACAGCAGCTTGGGCTCCCATCCTGAAGTGAGCTGGGACCTGGGTGGAGACAAAACAACCTCTGGCACCTCGCAGGACATCCTGTGCTTGAGCAAAAACAGGGAGAGGCAGAGAGAGCAGATTGTCCTGTGTTTTCAAAAAAAAAACCACCAACAAACCAAACCCAGCCTGGGAGGAGATACTTAAAAGCTGCCACCTTGTCACTGCATCTTGAGTGCTGCAAGGACATGAGGGCAGGAGAAGAGGGAATGGCCTCAAGTTGTGCCAGGGGAGGTGAAGCTTGGATCTGGGGAACAATTCCTGCCTGGCAAGGGTTGTCAGGGCCTGGCCCAGGCTGCCCAGGGCAGGGGGGGAGTCCCCATCCCTGCAGGGGTTTCCAAGCCCTGCAGATGGTGCTGAGGGACACAGTTTAAGCACTGGACTCAGCAGAGTTGGGTTATGGTTGGACTCAATGATCTTAAAGGTCTTTTCCAACCAGGAAGATCCTGTGATTCTGGTGAGACCCTGGCCCAGGTTGCCCAGGGAAGCTGTGGCTGCCTTATCCCTGGCAGTGTTGAAGGGCAGGTTGGATGGGGCTTGGAGCAGCCTGGGCTGCGGGGAGGTGGCCCTGCCCTGATGGCATCCACAGGGCTCCTCCAGGGTGGGGACTCCACTGCTGGGCCCACACACACACACCCCCTTTCCCTCTTCTCTTCCAGAGCAAAAGCAACTTGAATCCAGACGCCAAGGAGTTTGTGCCCGGTGTGAAGTACTGACAGGCAGGACAGGCTTTGGACAGACTGTGTCCCTGCTCCAGGGGATGGTGGTGGGGGGCACAGAGGGGGGGACACTGGCCCTGGCTGGACTCTGCGCCCTGGTGGAATTGCTGCAACGTGGCTCAGTCTCACTCCGTGCTTCCAACACCTTCATCTGGATTTATTTTTTTCCTTTTTTTTCCGTTTTTTTTTTCCCCTTTTAAATTCTTCCTCTGTATCATCTGTCACTTTTTTTCTTTTTTTTGGGGGGGTGTTGCAGTTTTTTTGCTCCCTAGGACCTGGGTCTGTCCTGGAGCCCAACACCCCCCCCCCTGCTCCCCCGACCCA